TCATCTATAGGCTCTACCTCCCTTTGCTTGTTTTGTAGTAAGGAACTGAGTCTGTCATCCTGTCATCTCCACTGTCTCAGTGTCCTGTGTCGCCATTTAACATGGTCCTGTGTTCACTATAGACCGTACTTGGTTTTGTTTTTCAGTTTTGGTGCAAATTCTTCATAGTTTCTTCTCATTCTTCCATAAGGGGGTATATCATCCCTCCTGCTTTTCTGCTTATGAACAATTTCTAGTAATTGTCTCTATTAGGGGTTTGTAAATAGTTCTACTAATTGTAATTCAGTCATTTCTTCCGGTATTAGCAGAATGCTTGCTAAAGTAAAACTTTTCATCACTAATGATCATGAGAGCGCAGACACCTCTGCGAGGTGCTGACTTCACTTCCTTTGGGTTCATACCCAGCAGGGGCATTGCTGGGTCATATCCCTTTTTTGGGGGAACTTCAGTCACATTTTCCATAATGGTTATCTTAGTTTCTATTCTAATCAACAGTGCACGAGGGTTCCCTTTCCTCTTTATCCTCCTCAACATGTGTTATGTCTTATCTTTTTGACAATAATTGTCCTAACAGGTGTAAGGTGACATCTTGTGGCACTGATTTGCATTTTTGGATACATAGTGATGTCAAGTAGCTTTTCAAACCTTGGGAGACTGAGGCAGGAGGATCACAAGTTCAAGGCAGTCTCAGCAACTCAGTGAGAACTAGTCTGAAAAAAATAAGAATTTTTTTTTAAAGGGGCTGGGATAGCCAGATGTGGTGGTGCATGCCTATAATCCCAGCAGCTCCAGAAGCTAAGACAGGAGGATCATGAGTTCAAAGCCAGCCTCAGCATTGGTGAGGCACTAAGCAACTCAGTGAGACCCTCTCTCTAAATAAAATACAAAATAGGGCTGGGGATGTGGCTCAGTGGCCATGTGCCCTTGAGTTCAATCCTTGGTACCCCCACCCCCTAAAAAATGGCTGGGGATGTGGCTCAGTGGTTGAGTACCCCGAGTTCAACCCCTGGTACCCCCAACCCCCCAAAAGGGCTGGGTATGTGGCTCAGTTGTTAAACACCCCTGGGTTCATTCCCCAGTACCCCCTTCCCCAAAATGTCTTTGAGGTCCTTTGCCCTCCTTTAACTTGGTTTGCCCCTTTGTTATTGAGTTGTACGAGTTCCTTATTATTTTGGACATTAGCCCTCACGTTTCACAGGATTTGTGAATGTTTTCTTCCCTACCATAGGCTGCCACTTCTTCTTTTCAATTGTTCTTTTGCTATGTGCACACTTTTTAATTTAAGAGTCCCTCTTGTTTTTCATACTTTTTAAACTTAGAAGAAGATATACATGTATTATATGCTCATTGCAAAAGAACTTTTGAAAATATATTTTTTTAAAAATCCTGGTCCTTTTACTTAAATTGTTACATTCAGGGATATTTTATATGTATTTTTACTGGGCATACTCCTGTATTGGAAACTGTTTTTATTTAACAAAAATGCACTGGACATATATTTCTATCACTATATTTCTACGGAATCCTTATTTGAACCTCCATTTAAAGAATCTCTGTCATGACGTGGGTATCTGAATGTGACCAGGGCTAGTGTAGGACATTCATTAGAGAAGGAATATTTCTTTGTGGTTTTGTTTATTTTTAGCTTTCCTGAGGTACAATTCTTCATTTTTAAAGGGTGTGGAGTCATGGGTTGACATGTGTGTCCACTGAGAAATGACCGCAATCCAGTGAATTAACAACTTAGCGCCTCAGTTACCACATTTTTTTTATTCTTTTTTCCCCTCTTTTTGTTCTCTTTCTTCCTTTTTCTTTCTTTCTTCTTTCTCCTTTTCTTCTATGCAGACGCCGAAGGCCTACCCTATTAGCACATGCAGGGTCACACTGTAGTCACCTGCTGAATGTCAGGTCCCCAGAACTTGCCCATTCTATAAATGGAAGTCTCTACATGGTGACCAGCGTCCCCTCTCACTGACCTCCTGGCCCTGGGCAGCCACTGTGC